ATCCACATGGGAAAACTAATCATATCCTTGATTATCACAACTACCACAATGTGTCTCCCAAATGTTTTTTGGTTCACACAACATTGCCATTAAACAAGAAACTGCGTAGGGTCCTCAGATATTTCCTATCCCAGTGTTTTCATCATCTTGAATCACCCAGTGAAACAACAGCCTAACATGCAAATGTCCCCTCCTCCACAATGCAATCAACAGACTCCTCCTAATAGCAGGGCCTATCCTGCTTTCATTCTTCATCCATTTTTTCTTTTTCAATTCATCAGTTAATCAACAGCCAACTAGTCACCTACAGAAAGCAGTGTTTCTCGTTGCTCCCTGTTAAATCAATTTTAAAAGAAACAGACCCAAGAAGCTTGTTCTCTTGCTTTCAGTAGTTCAACTGAATGAGACTAATCATGGGATAAAAATAAGCATGTGTCCAGATATTTGCAGGACGAGGGCTTTTGGCTCAGCCTTAGTAATCAGGCCCCATGCTACAAAGGTCCTTAGGCACCTAAACCCAAGATTTGGGCACTACTGCAATCCACAGAACTCCCACCAAACACTATTGGCATCTAAACTCGCTCAGTGCCCAGATTTTCAGGATAAAGTTCACTCAGTAACTCAGTTTCTGCCTCTGGGCAGATGCACTGTTGCTCTTTTTAGCATCTGGACGTCTATCTCCCAGCTAAACCCCAGTACAATCCACAAACTAGGGGAAGATGGGTGGTCACTCACCTATCTCACATGTAGGGTCTGCTCTGGTAGGTGGGGTAAGAGGCCACTAACAAGCAAATGGAGCCCACCTTACAGCACAGCCATAGAACACTCACTTGGGAGGTGAGACCCTAGTTCAATTCCTCCATTTCTGCCTGATGGGGAGAAAAGTTGAACAGATGTCTCCCAGCTCTCAGGAGAGTGCTTTAACCACAAAGCTGAGATAGTCTGTTATGGGGGCTCCCTCTTATTGATTTTCTTCCACTGTGGATACCTCAGCAACTGAGACTTGTGTGGTCAGAACCAGAAGACAAGCAGGGCTAGAACAAGGCAAGCACAATTGTAACTACTAGCATAAACATCTAATACCCAGCAAATTGCTGCTGCTGGGTTTAAGAACATGCCTGCTGGTTCCCCTCAGCCCATCAGGCAGGTTGGTCAATCAGGTGGTTCTGCTGTAGCTTACCTGGGTTCATTAGTTTGCCAGGAGACTCAGCTGGCTAGTCCCATGCTCAGCTGCAGGTCTTTATTCCTGACAGGATGAATAATAAAAAAGCAATTTAATCAGGGACACTGGCTTCTCGGTCTCCCGCCCACCAGGTGGGTGCTCTAACCACCAGGTTACAGAGTAATTCTCACTTTCTCTTGCTCAGCCCAATGACTATTTAAGTATTTATGCACAGTGAAACAGTCAGTGGGTTAGAAAGAAAGAGCAAGAGAATGATCCTATAGTCTGGTGGTGAGGGTACCTACGTAGGAGATCCAGTGCCCCTGCTCCAATTACTCTTTCAGTATTTATCCACAGTGGAACAGCTTCAACAAAAGAGATTGAAGGAGCCCTCCACATCAGAACATCCCATAATTCAGTAGTTAGCACATGCTCCTGAAAGTTCAAATCCTTTCTCCCCATCAGGCAGGGGGACAGATAATAGGGGAATTGAACTTGGGTTTGCTATATCCCAGGTGAGTGCTCAATTCATTGGACTAACAATTACAAGCTAGCTGATGGCACCACCACTACTTCCTCATCCAGCTGGTTCGTGTGAGCCAAAGCAGTACCTAATTCTTTCCTGCAAGGAGGGGCATGCACCCCAATAATTAGTGGGGGCCCAGAACTTCTCTGGCCCTGGGGCTGCAGAGGCAGGGAAGATTGAGCTCTTGCCCAGGGCCAGGGCTGGGAGGGAAGATTGAGCTTGGGGTGAGGCCAGGGCAGGCTGGAGGGAGGGAAAATTGAGCTCCTCCAGGGGCTGGGGGGGAAGGAGGGGCAGCAAGCTTCTGAGGCTTCTCCCCCTCCCCCAGAGGGGTTAAATTTAAATTCCTGCACACACCCCTGCCTGTAAGAAACTACTTAGGCACTTAAGCCACCTGACTACAGGAGATGGGTTCCCATTTATGAATTGCTAAATAGAAATAGGCATGTCTCTGCAGCCAGGATTTAGGCACCTATCTCCAAGAGAGGTGTGGGGCTTAGACCACATCAGTATGTCCCTTTGGCTTGTGTAGGCAGCTCCCTGCCTACAGTGCTGGTTTTTATAGATTGCATTCTAAGGTGCCTACACTGCCCCAATTCATTGCATAGGAACCTAGGTGTCTAAATCAGGTTTTGTGGCTTGCAGTATTGTTCCTGTAATTTTCTAGGCACCTAAAAGTCAGGTGCTGAGCCTGTGATCCAGCACCAAGGTATTCTCAGAGGAAAGCCTAAACCTCTGGAGCTCACTTCCTCTGGAGGCCTGCCAAAGCTCAGACATATCAAGCTTCAGAAATCTGTGTGAAATTTATTTATTTAGACAAGCCTTTACTTAGCTGATGGGATTACCACTGGCACATGGAATGAGGAATTTAATGTAATACATAGGTTAGGCAGGCCATTCATCAGATTTGACACTGGACAGTCCTCTTTTTGGGGTGGTTTGTCCTCCATCAGGTTTTGAAATAAAATTGGACATGGATATGTCTGGTATTGGATGGGGGATGTCATTTTGAAGAGTGAGCCATTCTGCGCGCATTACCTTGCACACACCATGTGTGTGAGGTTACATTGGCATGGCGGGTCATGCTGACAGGGCAAGCCCAGGCCACTCCCTGAAGTACTGGAATGTCTGGTGTTCTAGGAATGCATGAGTAGCCACCTTAATGTAGGTGCAGCCCCTCAGCTGCATTCTGTGTAGCTGCATTGATGGAGCTACGTATAACAGTTTATACCAACTGAGGATCTGCCCCATAACATTTACATGTAATAAATACATGTACAGTAAATAATACATCCACATGCCAAAGCGATTGGCACCACTTATCATCTTTAATGAATTATATGATGAGAATGGCTGCATGATTTTGAAAACCAGCTACCTGGCTATTGTGGTGCAGAAAATAATTTTCCAGGCTATGCAATGCTGCAAATTTCATATATCAGTGCAGATTAGGGTGACCAGATGTCCTGATTTTATTGGGACAGTCCTGATATTTGGGGCTTTTTTTTTACATAAACTCCCCACCCCCCTCCTGATTTTTCACAGTTGCTATCTGGTCACCCTAGTGCAGACATGGTAAAAAAAAAAATATTAACAGCAGGATGGGCATTTTCCATAAAGATTATACTTCAATCCTTTATCTTGTTAAGAAAAGATTTGTTTGTTTTGTTTTCTAAATTAATCCAGTTAGCCTAGTGGATTAATATGTTGAGGGTTTGCTCTATTTCAGAAAGCACACAAGTAACAACAGTCAAACATAATTAAATGTAACATAATTGTACATCACTCTAGTAACAAGTGTGCTGTTTTCCCTAAGTATCTCATTTGTTGTTTTTATTACCTATGCTCTCTAATTAAATGTCTGGAATTCCTTATTATAGTATCTTAATTCATGACAAAATAAATAAGTGTCTGTCAATATTCTTTTCACTGAATGCATCTGATGAAGTGAGCTGTAGCTCACAAAAGCTTATGCTCAAATAAATTTGTTAGTCTCTAAGGTGCCACAAGTACGCCTTTTCTTTTTGCGAATACAGACTGACACGGCTGCTACTCTGAAACCTGTCAATATTCTTTGTAAATCACATTTATTGTTATACAGTTATAAAGATACTCTTCATGCTAAATGGAGATCTCAGCCCAGAACTGATGTTTTTCACCACTGGAGAAGAATCACTTTTCTGGTTCAATTATAAATGCAGGAAAAAGATTGTCTCTTTAATTATATTGACATCTCACTTGACAAAGTTCACTTTCTAATCACAGTTGTGTGCTTGCAATTTCAAACATAGTCTTGAGTGCTTTGAAACTATACAGATCTGTCAATCTCCTTTCCTCCCTCCCCCGCACAAAGAGAGAAGGGGCATGAGGTAATATCTTTTATTGGACCAATTTCTTTTGGTAAGAGAGACAAGTTTTCCAGCTTCCACAGAGCTCTTCTTCAGGTCCAGGAAATGTACTCAGAGTGTCACAGCTAAATACAAGGTGGAACAGATTGTTTAGCAGAAGTAATTAAACACATATTTCAAGGGATCACTTCCCCTTGAAAGGTCCCTTGAAATATGTGTTAGCTGTGACACCCTGAATACATTTCCCAGACCTGAAGTGGAGCTCTGTGGAGCCTCCAAAGCTTGTCTGTCTCACCAGCAGAAGTTCGACAAAAGACATTACCTCACCCACCTTGTTGCTCTAATATTCTGGGACCAACACAGTTACACCAACACTGCAAACCACATGAGCTGTAGCTCACGAAAGCTTATGCTCAAATAAATTTGTTAGTCTCTAAGGTGCCACAAGTCCTCCTGTTCTTTTTGCGGACACTGACTAACAGGGGCTACTACTCTGAAATCTGTCACACGCATATTGATATTTACACATTTGTCTTTATTGAGGGCATAGGGAGGATTCAGATCCTTAAGCTTACTCATTAAAATAGTTTCCCCACATTTCAGACATAAAAAAAGAGAAAGCTTGCAAAAAAATACTACTAGGTTCTATAAAAATAGATCAAAACACAGCACTAGCATCGCTGTTGCCTGTTACATGTTTATTTTGGGGGCATCTAGCGAGTTGGTTCTCTGATTTAATGAACTGTTAGTAGAAAATCAATAATTCACTACAAGAAAGCACCACTAATGCAAAGAGTTAAGAAAAATAAGAGCAAATGTACAGTGACCTGTCAAACACAGCCTCCACAGTGTGAGGGGCTTCTGAAGCAGTCTTTGTGGAACTACACTTCCCAGAGCTCCCTCTGGGGAAAGGCATTCTGAAAAATGTGGAGCCGATTCATAGACACGCTGCATTTCCTTTAACATCCTGTGGGTCAGCGTGTGGCTTTTACGAAGCACTTCCGGCTCTCCGAGGTAGCATTCCTTCTGCACTGACTACAGTAAGTTCCAGAAATGGGTGGACTTTCATTGACTGACACCCACCTACTCAGGGTGCACGCACCATAGACAGGATTGACAGGGTGGCAGCTCTGACTGTGCATGAGAGCGCCTGAATTCATTATTGCTAAATACAAACCGTGCTTCTTGGGGCGCCAAGGAATTAAGGAGTTAAAGGCTTCTCATCTCCCGATTTTGCATGCTATTATTATAAGAAGGCGTTTTTGCCCTCTGCAGGCAGATTCTGAACCCTCTCCCAGCTGCCCGTTCTAGAGCAAAGTACAGAGTTTTCTGTTAACTCCTACACTGATCTGCCCTGAAACTTTATGCTGTGTTTGGGATTTTCACAGACTAGATCCAAGGTGGGCAAACTATGGCAGTATCCCGCCTGGCCCTTGAGCTCCCGGCTGGAGAGGCTAGCCCCGGGCTCCTCCTTTGCTGTCCCCCCTGCCCCGCAGCCTCAGCTCGCGGTGCCGCCAGAGCTCTGGGCGGCGGGGCTGCGAGAGCCGCCGGCCTGTCCCGGTGCTGTGGGCTGCGCAGCAGTGTGGCTGGCTCCCGCCGGGCGGCGCAGCTGCCAGTCCTGGTGCTCTGAGCGGCATGGTAAAGGGGGGGTTGGATAAGGCGCAGGGAGTCCCGGGGGGCAGTTGGATGGGGCGGAGGGTCCGGGGGAGGTGGTCAAGTAACGGGGAGCAGGGGGGTTGGATAGGCGTGGGAGTCCCGGGGGGCCTGTCAAGGGGTGGGGGTGTGGATAGGGGTTGGGGCAGTCAGGAGACAGGGCGCGGGGGGAGTTGGATAGGGGGTGAGGTCCCGGAGGGGCGGTTAGGGGACAAGAAGGGGGGGGTTGGATGGGTCGGGGGCCGTGAGGGGGGCAGTCAGGGGGCAGGAAGTGGAAGGGGGCAGATAGGCGGTGGGGGCCAGGCTGTTTGGGGAGGCACAGCCTTCCCCACCCCTCCCGCCATATTGTTTCGGAACCCCGATGTGGCCCTGATGCCAAAAAGTTTGCCCACCCCTTGACTAGACTATCAAAATGTTCCATTTCATAGAATCCTGCAAGTAATGATACCATGTACAGAGCTCACAGTGCTTCCAAATTAATTTTGTTAAAATAAGGGGAATTATTTTCCATTTAAAAAAACTTCGTTAGTACTGAAAAAAAGTTCTTATATAAGGGCTGGAAGGAAGGTCCTTAAAAAGGATGGCCAAAATTCAACCTTGCTGTGACTCCACTGAAGTCAGTGAAGGTATCTCAGGGATGAAAATTGCCTGGTACTTTGATGAACATACATCTGGTGGTAGAATCAGGAGGAGACAGTGCTGCTCCATAGCATCCAAACCAGGAAAAGGAATAAAACAGAAATGCCTTGCTGGTTGCCAGGATCTATCCAAATTTTTTCCCAACTCTCAGTCTACAATCAGTTCATCCAGTATTACACCGGGGAAAAAAAAAGAATCCCAACTGATCTGGGAGTAGTAGGGATGGAGAAACAAAGATCAAAGACTGGTTCCTGCTAGAGCCACATAATTTTTAACCTGACACCTCAGATCCCATTCAAATCTGATCATTGAGACAATTAAGCTCTTTCAGTAATTTCATGTCATAATCATGTATGCAGTTTTGCAATATTTTTATAAGTTCCCATTTCTGTGGATAAAGTGTCAGGAACAGAGTACTTTCCATAATGGCTAGTGTAGAATTGCATGGAGTATCCACAGAATCTTCTTTTCCTTTGATTAAATTTCTCCATCTGTAAAATGAGGCTGGAGTACTGGAACAATTTTTATAGTGGGGGTGCTGAGAGCCATTGAACCGAACTATAAACTCCTTATATAGTGGAAACCACTTCCAGCCAGGGGATGGCAGCACCCCTAGTTCCAGCATCTATGAATGAGGCTAGTAGTACTTAACTTCCTTTGTAAAATGCTTTGAGATCTATGGTTAGGAAGTGCTGTATAAGAGCCAAATATTAATAATTAATTAAGAATTACTGTTCATCAGTTCGTCAGAAAAGATACTATAGATAACATTGCCTTCTGGGTAGTTGTCTTCCTGACATTTTGGAGTTGAGGGCAAAGTAGATTATGTATTTGCCTCAGCTAAAAGCGTTGCAGGTTTCTTTGGTACAAAATCATCAACTTCCTAGAGAGACTGATGCAGCTGCAACTGCTGTCTTCTTTCTAACTTGGAGAGTTCTCTTCTGCACCTGATGTTTTGTCTTTAATTCTTCACTATCATTATTGCATTTCCAGTAGATTTTCTGGCTGTTGTATTCGGATGTTCAGTTTGATGAGCTGGAATAGCTTTCTTTAGAAAACAGACAACATAGTAATTAACTTTATTATCCTTAATCACAGAGACACACACGTTAGGACAGCACAATTTAATCTTTGTTTACAGCAATTTCTACAAGACCTTCTTGACGGACACAAACAATAAATATATATATAAATACATAAAAACTGAGCTATGTTGGAACTTCCTTTGAAAAGTGTATAAAACTGAGTTCGGATAATGAGGTTCCTGGGGAGTGGACGAAGCCCAAGGCCAAATTGAACAATATTTTAGCAAGTGTGCCCTCAACATCCTATGGACTCTGTAGAAGAGAGATATATTTCTTTTTACATTGGGACATTGTCCCTTTTTAAACAGAACCCATTCATGGAAATTCATTACACTGCATGCTGTGCTTTTGTTTTGGTCAGAGGCAACTTCTCTCAGGTTCTGATGAGAGCTATGATTTATCAAGGTGTATACAGAAGAACTTCCTCTCTGTGGTGCAGGTTACATTCTACCTATGTTAGAAAAATGCGGTAAGTTCTTATCTTATTTGCGTTACAGAGCAGGAAGACCAGAAGTTGGTGCTCATGTATCCAATGTTCCATATGTGTCCTTGTTAAAATTCTGCATCTGGGGCTAATCCTATAGTCCAGTGATTACACAGTGCACTTCATAGCCCTGACTACACAACAGGTGTCGAAAGGCCTAGCTCCCTTCCAATAGTGCTGAAAACTGCTGAAGTCAGGTAAACTGAAGTCAATCCCTATTGTTGGAAAGCATGCTAGCAGTGAGGTTTCTCAAATATTCCTTGAACTTGATCAACAGCTCAACAACAGTTTTCAGTACCACTTCAAACAGTTTGAGCATAGCAATTTCTGTTACCCGTTATCAACTATGATTCATTTCCCTAGTGTAGATGCAGTCCAACATGGAGTGCCTTTTTTCAAGATTTGAGCTTCATCTTTACTTCCTGAATCAGCAGGACAGGGAGAGTCTCATATTGCTTAATGATCCAGTCATCCAAATTAGGAGCTGTGTTTACTGACTTAAGAGTAGACATACCCAGCCTTCCTTGTTTGTAAAGACAGTCAAACATCACTTAGAGCCTTCAAAAGTGGGGAAATACAATACAAATGACGAGTAGGATCCTCAGGGCTCCAAGCACCTTTGTGAGGTAGAAAGACATTTATTCTATTTCTTCACAGAAATTATTGTGTATATAAAATAGAGGACATATGATCATTCCTGATCTAGGCTTGGTCTTGCAATGATCTTCCTGATTCTTTCACAACTGCAGATACTTGTTTGAGCTAAAGGAAGATGATGGCATTTGTAGGAAAGCCCAGAACTCAGGAACATTCTACCTCTTTCACAATCTCTCTCCATTCCTTAAGAAAGTTGGGAGCAAGTACTTGGCACCACAGATAAGTGTAGCAGGTAAGCTGATGGTCAGTAGTAAACATCTTCATAGATTTACCAGCCAAAATGATGTACACCCAAGTTTCTTCCACTAACCAGATTTTAGTTGATACCATGTATGTTGTAAAGATCTCAGAGCTTTGTCCTTTTATCTCAGACTGATCATGATGAAGAATCAGGAAATCTATTAAGCCATATGGGAGTGTGTTCTCCACTTTATGTTCCGGGTATTATTTATTAACATCAAATAACTGTGTTTAGGATTACCATCTAAAGCCCTGGCACATGGACATGAACTAATTCTTTGTAAGTATAAATGGTATCTACACAGGTCTAATCCGTTAACTAATATTTATTTAGAGACAATATTTTTAATCTGGTTTAAATATGTGTGGCCATTTCCTTTGAAGCCATTTCCTTTGTAAGTGAGATATAAAGTTGACAAGGAAGGTGGAGGGTATTTGGTATAACCTGGGAAGGTTTCTCTGTGGGAAATACAATACATTCTGAGACACAAATAATTGTAGGGGAGAGGCACATTGTAGGTCCCTGAGCACTAGACTGTATGCTCTTCTTGCTCTGCACAATCATGGTCCAAAAGCTGGTGAATAAACTGGATTCTCAATTTCCACCTGACTCCTTTCATTCTAGAACCACCACATACCTTCCCCACATGTGAGCTTTGTCTTGAGGCTTTTCCCTTGGATGGGAAGGTGTAATGGGTTACTACTCTCCGCACTTCAGGGGATAGTTGTCAACAGCACCGTGAGTCAGCTATTTCAAGGTGTTTGCCCAGTCTCACACCTTTTCCACAAGACATAGGAAATCCCTTCTGTGATGTGGCCTAGTTCCATTGGCCTGGGCTGTAGGAGCCTTAAATATTAAGCTGTTGTTTTTTAGTGTAAGTTTATCACAGCTTTCTCCTCCCTTTTCCTCTCTTGTTTAGAAATGAAAAGCATGCTGGGGAAGTTCAAACAGAATGAACAGATGATAGAGGACTCAGTGCTGATTGGCTGTTCAGATGAATGCATGGCATACTTTGCCCTGGATCTAGGTTAGAATTACGCCTCCATCTATGTCTCAGCCATTGGCTGCTATATTTGTTCACTTAAATCTGCAAGTAAAGGAAGCCCAGGCACACTGATGGAGATGCTGTTTAGGCAGCGCGCTTAGTCCTTGATGGTTGAGAAGTTGCTTCTGAAGGAAGTCCTCACTCATCCTTGATGGGAAGTACTGTGACTTCACGGGAGCCACTTTATGGAATTTTTATATAATGGTATTACTTCTTTCTTTGTTTTTAGTAAAGTTGGTATGTTTGTAGTTCCCAACTTTTGGGGACTGTATTATGGTTGATGTAATGTCATTTCCATACTAACATGATTCTGTCATCAGCAGCTCTATGGAAATGTTCAGAGATTTTATACTCTTAATAGGAACAAAGAGGGGTGTGGGGTAGGGGTGGTAACTGAAATTTCTGATTCCCACAGATTTATTCAATTCCAGGATCCTTGGAGAAATCTGTCATTGAATCTGAATTGAAGGGGTCATTTACTGAGTTACGGAAGGCTTTCTTTCAACTAGATGGGAAAGATGCACCCTTGTTGTCCTCGGTATGATATAGGATATTTCACGTATAGAAATTGTGATTGCTTGCACCAGATCTCCCGCTTGCAATCATTAGTTTATTATTTTATATATATTGTGGCAGTACCTAGGAGCCCCACCAGTTTGTGAGACATTGTGCCAGACACTGTACAAACACATATTAAATGGCAGCCTCTGTCTGAAAGACAAGATGTAACAGGTGGATGAAACAGAGAAGTGAGTGGCTGGGGAAAGAGGACAGAATAACAGTAATAATATGCTGATTTAACATGGACTAACTCTCTGCCCACTTTGTAAATGTAACAAACCAGTCAGTAACAATAGTCACAGTAATCACAACTTGTCACCTGCCTCACCACTATCAGAGGGCAGTTTTCTGTATGCATCCCAGCAGAAGTTAATGCAAAGAAGGGGTTTGAAGGAGGAAAAAGTGGTTTTCTCATTGTGTTGTTCTCCTTTTAAAACTGCTCCTTTTTGAGCCATTACTCTGCAGATACCCTAATTTATTTTTGGAAGCCCCGTCAAAAAGCAGGTGTGCTAAAATCAGGTCCATTAGCCCATAAATAGAAATAGCTCATCATTCCCCTTTTTGAAAGAGTTGTGGTACATGTGCTATACAGCAAGAAACAGATCTGGTCTCGGCATTACTTCGAGGCATGGTTCAATTCCAGTTATTGTTACTATTCAATCCCAAAACACAGCAACTTCTTTTTCTTCTTCTCTCCTAGACATGCTGAAAGGGATGGGAATTTAAATTCAAAATGAGGAGCTTGAAACATTGTGTGGCTACAGCCACTTTTCAGAGCAGCTCCTTAATTTCATGTGCACTTTCAGGGCTGCCTGACCTGATGAACTGTGATTTGATCCACAAGGATGCATGACTGGAAAAGGATGGCAAAGTATCGCTCAGGGAGAATGGCATGACTGCACTGAATGAGCCCTATGTTCTGATGTTAACTGACGGTATTTATGTTTTGGTGTTTATAGGCTCAGGCCCTTCTTCGTTGGCATGACACCCATCAGTACTGTAGCAAAACTGGGCAGCCTACCCAGAAGAACCTAGCTGGCAGCAAGCGTGTTTGCCGTACCAATGGAATAATTTATTACCCACAGGTTAGCATCTGAATGGTGGGACAACTGACACATGATCACAGCAGTGACTAGCCAAAGTTGTTGGACTTAATAAGAGGGAATTTGTGAAACTCAAGAGCAAGAGCTTGCTATTTAGTTGTGTACTTTTTCTTTATTATTTGTCCAATGTCCCCTGAAATCTTCTAGAAAAAGCAATAGCAATAGTCTGTGTTGTCACTTACTCGAGTTTTCATGTAACAATCAGCTTGTCTGAACTCTGATTCCTAGTTGCTTTGCTGTTTGGTATGTTGTCTAGATGTCCCCAGTGGTTATCACTTTGGTGTCTGATGGGAGCCGGTGCCTTCTTGCCCGACAGGCGTCATTCCCAAAGGGGATGTACAGTGCTCTGGCAGGCTTCTGTGATGTGGGTAAGGAAGCTTCTGACCGACTGTTTTGCACTCAAATGCATAACGCTGTGTTTGATAACAGGATTGTGTGCTGCATGGTGGGAGACCTGAGTCTGGGAACCAGTTACAGACGTGTAGCTCCCCCCATTCAGTGGAGCTCATGCCCAGAGGTGATGTTCTGGAAAAAGGGGAGGGATGTTACTAGAGCAGCTTTGCTCATCCAGCTGAAGTGTAAAATTGCTTGTGTTTATCTGAAAAAGAAAAGGCGCTGTAACGGGTAAAATCATGGGATTCAGCAACAGGGCACTGTCTGTGCTCATATCCACGTATGAGATCTTTGAGTTAAATCCAAGAACTCTCCTTCTAACATCTTTTTTCTGGGCTAGTGGAGAGTGGGTGTGTTGGGGAACTTACAAGAAAAAGTGTGGTGCTTTTAGTGAGTGAGAGAGAAAAAGTATATACTGTAGACAGAAAGAATAAGCTACTCTGACCTTCTTTCATTTTTAAAGCTTTAAAAATGAAAGAAGGTCAGAGTAGCTTATTCTTTCTGTCTACAGTATATACTTATATGGCCCCCACCACCTTACTATTTGAATGTCTTTGGTGCCTAGGAGAGGTATCCAAAAAGCAAATTTGAAGGGGACTAAAGATAGTTGATGGATTTGTTATTGTGGCCTGATGCTAAAGTGATTTCAGAATGACTCATCTTACAGAGACTTATACTACTTGGGAAGTCAAACATAAAATTCCTAAGAATTCCTAAAATCCCACCCATTTTTATGTGGCACAAGGGATACTTTCCTATCCTGGGGAAAACCTGCCAGCATTATCTTACCTGATGGGGAGGCTGTCCCTGACTATCTTGAGTGTTTCCAGGTGAGACTCTGGAGGAGACAGTCCGACGGGAGGTGGCAGAAGAGGTGGGATTGGAGGTGGAGTCTCTGTGGTATTCTGCTTCTCAGCACTGGCCCTTTCCCAACAGCTCCCTAATGATAGCTTGTCATGCCATGGTGCAGCCACAACAGACCAAGGTGAGCAGCCCCCAAGATTTTATTACCTTTCTTGCTTGGTGAATCTCCTTTCCCAGTCCACGTAACTGCTGCATTGTCAAATCCTTTTAAATGCAACTTTCAATGAGTTCTACTGAAGTGAGTGTGGGATCCTTTTAAAAGCTTGAAAATACTCCTTTTCTGTTTCAAAAACACGGTGTATTTTGTGCTGCAATGTGTATGAACCAACATCCAGATCCAAACACCACTGTACTCTAGATCCACCCTCTGCAGATGAGGCAAGCTCTGATTTGATTTCCTATTGCTAAAGTTCCTTGTTCATCCACCAGCACCACTATTACAAGCAAGGTAATGGAATAGTGTGTACTGGCTAATTGTTACATCAAAGGAAACCAAAGCCCACAAAATATTAGCGGGCAATAGATTCTGTTAGTGGCAATTTTTTAATTTATTGGCAACTAGTGGTCAATGCATTGTCTCATAATAGATATTTAAAGTATAAAAGCTGTCATTGTTTTGGAAGCCTGCTTCGTGGCTGAGTAGTTCAGTCTCCATTTCCATTGAGGCCTTAGCCCCTTTGTGGAGACTGCCACCCCAGGAACAGGTATGATGCGAAGACCTAGTGCTAGCCAAATACTACTAATTCATTTCACATAAGCCACTGAGCAGCCTCACAGAATACATTGGAACCCAGAGTTCATTAGCCTTTTTTGCCAGAAAGTCCTGTAGATACAGGAATTATGAAGTCCTAGGTTGCTGCTTTTAAAGCCATTTAAGTCCTTTGTACATTTTGAATCCTTTCCAGATCAGCGTGAACAAACTGGAGTTGGAAGCAGCCGGCTGGTTCAGCCTGGAGGAGATAATGGAAGCATTCGGACGGGAGCCTAAGCCTTTGAAACAGGAGGATGGCAGCTTTTCACTTTGTCTGCCACCCAAGTGGGCCATAGCCCACCAACTGATTCAGGAGTGGATTAAGCTGCAGGCTTCCACGCCTGCTTAGGCACAGTCTATCAAGCCTTTATTTTAGCAGGAAAAACAAGTGAGGACAAGTTCTCACAGTGGTGACCCAGCCAGAATGGCTCATAAACTATCTTATATTCAGGTACACCTGGGGCACAGACGCATATTTGGATAAGCCCCAGCAACTCTGATACACAAAGAGTCATCAATTAGACACAATACCATAAGTTCCAGTAAATCTAAAAAAACCCCAAAAGCCCAAACCAGCGTGTCATCAAACCAGCTACAAGCCTGCATGATAGACATCAGAATGGTCAAGCCCTACCACGTTTTTCCTCGAGTCCTCTTGGAATAAAGGATTCCATTCATTTTCCTCTGTTTTACCCCTTAGACATCTCTGATGTCACACAATAGAGCCTCACTCTTTTTGACAGAGGACTAGGTAGGATTCCATTTAGGGCCTGTCAGTGTTGGTCCTAGTGCTGCTCTTGCATGTTTTGATGAAGTATGGGAATAGTGGGAGTGCAAATTTCATTAAGTTCCCTCCTTCTATTGCTCCCCTGCCCCATCAAGTCTCCCATTATGCTCATCTTCATACAAAAATACCCTTGATTTCCTTTGCTGCTACATTTGTTCATATTGGACTTAGCAGCAAAAAGTATTACAAGGCCCTCCCTCAGTGCCGAGCACATTGCCTCTACAGCGTTTCATCCCCAGGGAGCAAGATTTGATGATAAACAGCAGAGGAACAAAACCTGTATAAAGCTTTAACTTGCTTGATATTCTGGAAGAGCCTCCATGACTCAAGGGTAATAGAAATCACTGAGAGCCTTAGGAACTACATTTCCGTCTCAGTTCACGGGGTATCACTCTTAACTCCATGCATTGCTTAACTACGGAGCATTTCTGTGGAGCAGAGAGTCCAGTCACAAGGTTCACGGGTTTGGCTAGATACGTGCTCCCCTTGTACTGGTGGAATAGCAGGTTATCACCCTCTGGGAGACCCACTGAAGCATAGCCTTGGGCAGGCAGAGACTAATAGCCTAATAATGGAGTTACCTGGATTTCCGATTTGCTGGTAATTAAACTGGAAGAATTCAGGGTGGCTTCACCTTCTGCTTACTTGGTTGAGTTCTTGGGAAAATGCACAGATGCCCACAGTTCCAAGGCTATTAGTATGGACATCTGGAGGGAGAAGTGCATTTTTAATTCTCACCAATTGATCCTGCTCCTGGCCAAACACTGCTAGCTACACATTTTCTATAGTCACGCATTGTTGTGTTGTAACAGTCTGGCATCCAGCTTTTTTTAAAATGTAATTTACTATAGCTCTGCTGGTTTGTTCTCCATTCTTCCCCTGCATGTGTGGTGTCTGGGTTCCCTCTTCCTGGCTCTTACTCTCATCATCCTTTCTTTCCCTTGCTGGAATACAGGGGAATTAGGAATGAGGTAGAGAATGGGTGTAGATCAGTCTTGTCTTCTTATTTCCATTTTCTATTGTTTTCTAGCCTGCCTCTGGAACCTGTTTTTCTCATGTGCACAGAACTCTACTTCGGTGCATCAACTTCTTGATGCCTCCTCCAACACCTCTCTCTCTCTCCCCCCCGCACCCCCCCCCCCATCCACTCAAACCATGACTACTGATTACGGAGAGGCAGAGGAAAGTGTGAGTAGCTCAGGGCAGCCCAAGGCAACGACAAGAAGAAAAGGAGTGGCTCAGACAGATGAGATGAGAAACTCATAATTGCAGTGTAGTCCACATGTCAAAACTCAAAAGGAAAAACATGTTTTGGTATGTCAAAGAAATGTGGAAGTATTTTGCAACTTCTGCAGCCTGTGGGGATTTATTTTTAGGACAAAACAGGGTGTGTACCTCTTCGCAATCTTTCTCCAAGTTTTATAAATATACAATATATATTTACCATGTATGTTTGTCATTAAGCCCTAGAATGGTCTGCTAGAGACATATGCCTATCTTAAGAGGCCTCACACCCAGTATACTCTAAAAGTACTGAGAATGCATCTGTGTTGTGCTCTGTTCAGCTTTTACAATACTTCCAAATGAATTTTAATTAGAAGAGCATAAACACGCAAAGTCCATTTTTCAAAGTCACTAAAGAATGTTTACATTTACACAAATGCCACAGCAATTTTTAGCTTCCCACAGCTCTACACCTTGCTGCCTCTCAGCCTTTTCAACTTTTGTCTCTTCTACTCTGCTACCAAGGACTATTTAGTGGGACTTCATTTGGGTGCTGGGTGACCACCAAACACAGCAAGCTAAAAATCAGCACTGCTTCCTCCACCCTTCTGACAAAGGTGAGGGGGGAAGCTGCTATCCTGCCCCATCTCCATAGTGTTTGATGCTAAAGTTGCTCTGTGCTCCCAAGAGTTCAGGATGCTCCTCTCTAGCCAGCTGGCCTTTCAGCTCCAGTTGGGATTCCTGTAGTACAGGCCTCCCCTTCTGAAATCTTGACTTCAGCCACATATTTATCACTCTGAAGGCATTTGACTACCTGGATTTTTTTGCTCTCTGCCAGCCCAAAGCCTAAAGAAAAAAAAAAAAAGCTTTCTTGATTTTCAAAAAGGGAGACTCGGGCAAGCCCCACTCCAGCCACAGAGGATTCACACTTGATCTAAAAGTACTGATGATGCAGTGTGACTTGAGAGAAACTGCATGCACAGACAAGTAGATAAAGCCTTAAGAAAGAGAGGCTCATTTTCCCTTCCATTGCTGCAAGAGATCCCACATTTGTTCCCAGTGAGTTAGGTGGTAATTTAATTTCCTAATAGCTGAATCACTTAATTATTATCCAAGATTAGACACCTTCATAGGAATTAGAATACTGTAGGCTGGTTATGATCCTGCTAGAGTGTGTGCTGCATCAAGAGGAATGAAGATACATTATTTATCTTCCTGCCTAAAATAGCAAGCTTGCAGCTAATTAATCCATTCATGCTAGGCTCTGTCCCAGGCTTCAGGCCACAAGTAGAAAAAAGTTAAATTGTCAGAAGTTCTACATAAACGCTTCCGCAACAGAAGCGGATACTCACCTGAACCAGGGAATTTTATCACATACAAATGCAGGTCTAGTAAAACAAGATTAGGTTTTGCTGGAAACTTTGACAGCAAAAGTTAAGAAACACTGTTCCTACTCCCTTGATTACCATACTGGGATACCATCAGACTTCACTCACTATAAAAACCCTATTATAATTAAAAGCAAAAATGTTTTAGTACATTCTTCAAAACAGTCAAAAAGGCAAGACGGCAATGTTTATTATAGCATGTAACTATTTTTATATGCTGAATTCTAATGTGGGTATTTGTACAACACCCTGAGATAAGTTGATAAATATAAATGGTTGGAATAAATAAAATTCTTAATAATAGGGATTTAACTAAGACAGATATAATCAAGACAAAAATCAGCAGTAGGAGAATAGAAGAAATTGCTGCTGTTTTGCTGTTTTACGCATTAATAATTTAGGATATTTTTCACCTTGTACCTATACAGATGGTCAAATTCTGGCACTTGCAGTATCTTATCAGAGATCCATAAAACTTTACAAATGTGAGCAAACTATTCATTTTACAAATGGGGAAACAGACACAGGCCAAGGTGTCTCAGCAAGGTTGTGGCAGAGCCTCAGCCAGTGACTTCCCTGGAAGTACGACAATTTAAACCGTTTAAAGATTTCCCTTCCTAACTTTCAACTCACCTGGTCTGGAAACTGGACAGTGTTTCCTCCCTTATAAAAGATCTAATAAGCCTCCTACTGGTGGTGACTGGAATACTGGTGTGACATTCAACATCAGCAGTACAAGAAACTAGTTGCTAATCTCTTCTTTAGCGTCAAGAAAATGGCAGAATTTTTGTACAAAAATTTTAAAATAAAAATCTAGTTGCAATTTCAAGTGACTAAACCTATGTTCCGATTTTCAGATGTATTTAAGAACAGTACTTAGAAAATCAGTTTTGCCTTCACTTGCCTGCTAGGACCAGTATTGAGGCTTCTGCTTCCTTGAGAGTTTGACCGTACTAATCTCCAAAGCAAAATATGGAGCTTTTCCTACACTTAAGGTGCCTGATGTTAATAGGTAAGGAAACTGCACAGAAATCTGAATCAGTCTTGGCAAGTAAGTGAAGGAGGAACCTTTTATATATTTATTTGAAATATTAACTAGAGGAATAAGACAGTCTTCATATGGGTAACTTAAATGGTTTGCTAGATAGCTTTAACTGATGTAATTTTAAGTTTTTCAATTCAGTATAGAAATGAAATGTTGAGTATTTTCCAATTAAACTTTTATTAAAGCAAGACAGACTTGTTTAGATTGGGCCCACATACAGATACTGTTGGCACAAAATGATTTTTCAGTCCCTTGAGGTAGTGGGTAGTTCAAACAAAAGCCAAGTTTGGTCATGAGCTTTCTTTCAAATACAGTGATGTTGAGAAATGCTTTTTATTCTGAGGATTTGCAATACTGCCCTGAGAAAAATAAGTGCAACTTCAAAGGAAAAAAAAGTTACAGCAACCAAGTTATACTTTTCTAGATCTTTATTTAAATAAATTAGAAAAATGCTTATAGAAAAATATATTAAAATACCCAGGCTGGTAAATCTACAATTCTCCATTATTTGAAGAAATCTATATAGTTTTCACTACTACTCATCAAAACTGCTTACACTGAAGCTTTTGCATTTTAGAAACTGTGGGTGGGTGGGTGCTTGTTGGGTAGACGGATGTTTGTGGATATCAACAGCAAAAAGACGACGACAGAAGAGGGTACTACTGCTGGTGTGTGATCTCTTTTATATCCTTCTTGACACAGCAGCATTTCAAGAGGGTCTGCATCTCATCCATATTTTAGCCACTAAAATAAAACATTTATTAATGGCTACAAGGGCCAAAAAAAAATTGTGAGTGGCAAAGAAAAAGCAAGCAAGACTTGGAGTCTTCCCAGAGTGACAGTATCACTTAGATTATGATCTTTATATTGGATATACAGCTTTATAATAGACATAGGAGATTTTCATTCAAATCAGAACCACCTTCACAATTTTTCTAAAATATATTAGCACAAGAGAAAAAACTCTGCTTTATTCCCAAGGTAACTTTTTGCATTTAAGAGATCAGACAGACTTTATCAGTTAAGTATTTTGCACACACATCTAAAGCCATGTAAAATGTATTGAAGTGTTTAGTACTGAAACCGTTCATAGTGTCTGCTATACCACTGCTACTCTGCAGGATGAGAGTAGAAGCACAAACTGTCCTCTGAACTAGGATAACAGATTAATCTGTTGCTGTGCTGCTAATACATCTACGGTCTGAATTTTCAGGTAAATGCACCCCCATACTCTGTAGGATGTTAGAGGCAGGTCCTGCAAGTCCAGCTTGAGCACTATATGATTCCAGCAGGTTAGTCACTAGGTTCAGGTCTACATCTACAGGTGTCAAATCAGCATCTCCTGCATCAGAATCATCTTCTAAGGCACAGTCAGCATCTCGAGACAGAGGTTCTTTAGCAGAACTAGCCTGTAGCACATACAGAGAGTAAATTTTGAAAACAAATATTTGATTACATGTAGGTTCTTTATGACAATCGCTGGTGGTATATGAAAAGCAACCATAGTGGGAGAAGCTCCTGACTAAGACAGCAGGGAAGGCACAGACTGATCTATGAAACTACCAGAATTACTCTTCACAATCAAGCAGTGGAGGAAAAAAACCCACCACAAGTGAGTTAAGCAGATACTTTAGAAGCCAAGTTAAAGTCCAGTATGTACTACCCAATCATGGAGGATAGGAGTTCATGAACCAAACAATCACACTATCAGAATCATCATGCAGAAGAAGTCACAAGAGAAGGATATGGAAAATTACTGGCCCTGCCTGGGGTTTCACCTGGAAGTCATCTAGGACTTCAATAGCTCCAAGAGATCATGAGACAGCTGCTTGTAGTACTAGTAAAATGCAGAAATGAAGCCAGGACTTGAAGCTACTGTGGAAGTCAAAAGTTTAGTTTTTTATATACGGAATCAGTCTCGTGGTATAGCTACAGCACACACTGTTTGCACATAGGATCTTTCTTTGGAAAGAGCACATGCTCAGAGATCAGGAACATCAGCCATGTATGCTTAGATTATTATTCTACTCCCTACCTCCTCTTTCATGGAAGGAGATAAATTACAAAACCCAAAAACATACATACCACTTTCCTTGGGGTGACGAAGCTTTTACCAACATTGGTGTGTGTCAGTTCACAGTCCATCTCATCCATGTATGATCTGAGACTTCCCATCATTTTATTTGGCAATGCCTTTTCCTCTTGACCATGGGCTTCAGAATCCAAGTCTTCATCGCTGTCCAAGAACTCAAACTGCTCCTCCTCATCCAGATCATCTGAGTCCAGCTCTTCTGAGTCAGCGCCTATAAACAAATCAAGTCAATGCAATGTATATGGATGGCCAGGAACAAGAGTAGAATGTTAATAAAGAAACTAGATCTCACCTAAAATTCTGTCTAAAGCATTTGTAAAAGAGTCAACATCAAAGGTGACACAGGCCTCAGCAGGTGACCTGAAATTTAAGAACAATTACTCCATAAATCTATTCTCTTGTACATCTGGTGTGGTATACTTGGGCAAGAACATTTGGCATCAACCTTGGCAGGCAGAATTAGGAGTGAAAAGTTTGGGGTGTTGGCCTGGTGATCTACTGGCAGTACAATACACTGCTTCTCTGCACGTGTCAGACATCTGCATACGTGATCAAAATCAAGTTCTTACACTTTAAAGTGGGTAAAAATAAGGGGAGTGGGAACTGATAAGGCTCTGAATTTGTTCATAGGTAGGATTATGCTTCTAGTCTCAATATTAATGTAGCTATTAAAAAAATTCACAATAGTCCACTCAAAATAGCCAACTCTCAAGCTCTTAAAAGTAAGGACTTGCTAGACCAGGAGTGGGCAAACTTTTTGGCCTGAGGGCCACCCTGGGTTTCCAAAATTGTATGGAGGGCTGGTTAGGGACGGCTGTGCCTCCCCAAACAGCCAGGCATGGCCCGGCCACCGCCCCCTATCCGACCCCCCCCGTTCCCTGTCCCCTGACCACCCCCTACCCCACCCACCCCTCCCTCTCCCCTGACCGCCTCCAGACCCCATGCCCCTGACTGCCCCCTGTCGCCCCATCCAATCCCCCTCTCCTTCCTGACTGCCCTCCTGGGACCCATGCCCCCATTCAACCCCCGTTCCCTGCCCTCTGACCGCCCCAACCCCTATCCACACCCCCACCCCCTGATCGCCACCCCAAACCTCCCGATCCCTGCCTCCTTACCGCGCTGCCTGGAGAACCGGTGGCTGGTGGCACTACAGCCATGCTGCCCAGAGCACCATGACAGTCAGCCGTGCCGCCTGGCTGGAGCCAGCCACACCACCGCACAGCACAGAGCACTAGGTCTGGCCGCAGCTCTGCAGCTGCGCTGCCCAGCAAGAGCTCACAGCCCCGCTGCCCAGAGCACTGCACCAGTGGTGCAGTGAGCTGTGGCTGCGGGGGAGGGAGAACAGCAGGGGAGGGGCTGGGGGCTAGCCTTCCAGGCCAGGAGCTCAGGGGCCAGGCAGGAGGGTCCCGCAGGTCACATCTGGCCTGCGGGCCACAGTTTGCCCACCTCTGTACTAGACATTCTCAACACCCATAATGCTGAAACAGAACCACCACTATGCATCCGATGAAGTGAGCTGTAGCTCACGAAAGCTTATGCTCAAATAAATTGGTTAGTCTCTAAGGTGCCACAAGTCCTCCTTTTCTTTTTGCGAATACAGACTAATACGGCTGTTACTCGAGAACTACCACTGCAACTTATACTTACTTGTAAGTAAGAGGTGGCTGTTAATGTTTACAGTGAATATCTTGCTCAGTGTAACAAGAAACTTAGCAGATGTGTTACTGTCAAATAAGCAAGTGAGAAAATACTGAAACACCTACAGTGAGGATTTTTTTCACTCTTTGGGCTGTGTTTTGGAATGGGAAGCACTTCCTCATTTTTGTTATATATAAGAAAGCAGGTGTTACACACTGCTGTTCTGCACTGCTTAGTTGGAATGTTTGCCTTTATGAATTCTAAGGTATTATACTAATGCACTGTCTTCATCTTAAGAGGCGCTCCCAACATAGCCATAAGTTATAAATTTGTCTACGTGCAGCCTGATTAGAGACATTTTTAGTAATCCTCGTAGTCAGAAAAGTTCACAATACACAAGAAAACAACCATCCTCAGATATATACAATCCAAAGAGCCCCAATGTTGTTCAGATACTATGGTGATGGGCATGAGGAACCTAAATTAAGAAAAATGGATTCAAACAAAAAAAACGAAGTAAGAGTTTTGGAAAATAAGACAGCTTTCAGATATTTTTACTGGTACCAGCTCAACATGTTATAAAAGTGTATATAAACTAAGAATGTAATTCTGCTTCAGGATTCTAGTGACTTTAACAAATCACTCAAGCTTAACTATGCTGGTTTGAAAAGCTGAATCCTAACCAGAATTGCAGCATTACTAATAGGGTTGCAACATAAAAAGCAATGCACTACATACACCATTATTTAAACAAATACCATGGAGTTTCTGCTCCTTCATGTGTTGAGACTTTAGATATAAAAGCCTTCATGCTTTCAGTAACCTCTGCCAAATCATACTTCTGATCTTCCTCATTTGAGGGAGGAATGGACTCATTTCTACCTGACGCCTCACTCAGGATCTTATCCAGATCATCCGGAGAGATCTCCAACCAACCATCATCTGAAATAACAGAAAGGGAACATATTTGTCAACCTACAAGATCAAATTGGGAATGCTGTAACTTTAAAATGGAGGAAATATTGATCAGCAAGATAAATGTTAACACAATGCCTACTTATTGTAAATCCTGAATACTTTATATGGAAATACTGAAATGTTTGATAATGAGAAAAACTATGAAGGGATTGAAAAGGTTACTTGACAAATACTTCTGACACCATTTTATCACACTGGACCAACAGACCAGCTCATATTTGGTGGCTTACGCAAAACAAACTGGTTGTTCTAACTAGTAGAGAGTTTTCCACTAGGCAAGATCACAAAAAAGCTTGTGGCAGTCTCAGCACAAAGGCTGAAATTGAATATACATGGAGACTGAACTTCTGTAGCCACTTGTCATATAAAGAGAAATGCCTAATTTCCTACGACACCACCTTCACTCAC